TATATATATATAAAGAAAAGTAAGATGAAGTTTTTCTCTTTTCTCCCACCAAAGCCCATAGTACAGATTCAGTTACAGCCAGTTCACTGCTGGTGTGAGTTCAAGTTTGCACGTTACTCATCAAATCATCTTTCATGCTTCTGATCAAAACAGATTGTTGTAAACTGGCAGCAATCGTAGCCTTGAGAAATTAAACACATTTGTGTCCTTGTACCCTGAGAGATGGTTGTTTATAGAGGAAAATGTTGACACCAGACAGAAGTCAGCCAGTAATGACCGAGTTTTCACCGATGCCAAGCAACATCAAAAACAGAGCCATAGCGTAATGAGAGCCACCCTTAATCGCTTTACCTAGATGTTATTGTGATTTTGAGAAGTTTCATTTAGATGTTTTACAGCTAAGAACAAAGGCTGTGCTGTAATAGAACCTGATAACAAGTCTGTTCACAATGTCGACTCAACTATTCACAATTTATATGGGAGAAATAAACTGGGCCTAATAACTCACAAATATAATTGCCGGTATTTACTCACAATTTGTATTGGCTTTAGCTTGTTATACAGATTGTATCAGTTTATGATGATATGAAAAATGCATGAAGGAAAATTTAAAGTCATCTGTAATTGTGTAAGCCTCGACCTAGTAAAACTGTTTCATAGATTATACAAGGACATGACATACCGAGAAAGTTCCTAAAACACTGCTACTTGATCCATAAATCCTACCTGTGTAATGGATGAGCAGAGAACAGAAGAGTTTCTAATGCAAGTCTTATTGCAGGTGAACCAGACAAAGAACTGAACCCTAAAAAGAAGGTGTGGGAGCAGGTTCAGCCGGACCTACGCACGGACAGCCAGTGTGTTGCAACCTACCAGGGAGCTGCATTTGAAGTGGCCGGCAAGGGCGTGTGCAAAGCCCAAACCATGAGCAACAGTGGAATCAAATAAAATAAGAGAGCTGCTTGAAATAACTTGGTTTACTTGGCAAGCATCATCAGCGATGATGATGATGATGGTGTTAAGAAACATGATTGTGATGACTGGAAGTAAATGCTTTGAAGATGTTCATTAAAGGGATTTGAAAGTACAATTTAAGTATGTCCTAAGAATCGTTCCTGTGACAGTCCATTGTTGTCTGACCTCGAAAACTGAAAGTCACAGTCTATAAAATGTAGTGCCTCCATAATGTGTTTACGCTTTAACTCCCTGAGTTTGTCTTTTCTGGTAAGGCGCTTTAGCTTGATTGTGCTTTGGTTTTAACTAAAGGATATCCTGCACTGCACTTGTGGGAGCATCACTGGTTTCCACTTCATCTAGTCTTGGGCATTTTAATGAGCAGGAGATGAAACGTGGATGTTATACTACAAAGGACAACAAAAACAGGTCAGGTTCTCAAGCACTTTGCAGTGGCTGTGTGGACGGTGCTCTGCCCCTCCACTCCAATCGCCTGGCCCGCTGTCATTATCCCAGTCTTTTCTCTAGGATGCCACTGCCATGTGCTTTGTTTTATTGTCCCTTTGAAAGGAAAAGTCATTCCGCTTCTGGAAGTATCCGACTACACAGAAGAAACAGAACTGTGCACCAGAGCCTCTAATGTTACATCAACAGTAATTAAGGCCATCCACTCTGCAAAAACATCTGTCATGGGCCAAAGCCTGCAATCGCGAATAACGTCTGCTCACAGTTTGAGTCCTGTTTTTCCATATTCCATGTTCAACCACATTTTCCTCTATCAGTATTGCTATGAGGTTATTAAGTGATGGAATTAAAAACAAAAACACTCATTTGTTGTCAAGGGATCCTAAATCAAAAACTTGCATACCAGTAAATATTTTTAGATGCAAAGTGCCTCATAGAACTGGGTGTGTACCATATTCTCACCAACTCCCACATTTAGTGGGCCACACAGTCTCCACAAGGGGGATCTGTTCAGTTGTTGTCAGATCAGTTCTGCTGATTACAAACTTCCTCTTACAGGAACGTGAAGTAGCATCAACAGTGAAATACCTTTGCCTATTAGTTCTACAAAAATAACGTGGCACACTACAGTCCAGGATCCTCAGTCCTCAAATAGAAAATAACATCCATGTGCAACAAGTAGAATATGTGACCATAAAGTGCAACACACACCAGCCACCTTGCCTCAGTAGTCGAGGGGTGCAGTAGCTATGTGCTCATCAGCGGAGCACAAATCTAAAATTTTCTGCCTTTCTGGCAAGATGACACTTGTCCCAGCTGAGAAGCGGGGCTGTTATATGCAGTCAAATTTGCACAAATCAATTTGTGATACCGTGCCACATGTTTAGACATTGCCATGTTAATTCTCTGGTGAAATGGTCACCTCTGCAAAGCTCACTTTTATAAATAGAAAATGTAAATATATCAATAACAAAAGGTTTTGTGTCCAGTAATTGGAACCAAATGCAGAACTGAATCAACCCATGTTGCTAGATTTCCTGTTAACTTCACATAACTGTTATTTTGCAGGCCTGCAATGTAAAGGTGTGACATAAAGACGGCAGCTACTAAAATCAGGTTGCACAGGTAAGTCATTGCTCTCCTTACCTGTAGACAGTGCATATCAACCTAAATCTGCAGCTCTAAACTGCTGCTGCTGTTACTTTATTGCCAGTAGATGGCACAGTATAGATTTGAACTGCAGTTCTGAGGCTCAACCCAATGCAAAAAATATATGACTGATCTTGGTTTTTGGATGCTTAACATATGTCATTGCTAATGTAGTTTGAGAGTATACACATAATGCACACACCTGCCAGATAGTGTGTGCATTTTATCTGTCCTTTCCAGAAACCTATACACATTTTGATCTCGATGGCATGGACAGCTCTAATAACTTGACCTCTGCTGAAGCATATTCTCACCTAAACCACTGTGTTCTTTCTGGGGTTTCTGTGACCACATAGAGTGTTGTCACGAGAGAGAAAGCTCATTTCAGGAGTTTTTGAGTCAGGTGTTGGTCAGCCACACACTCCCTAATTAAATTCACAACCACAAATGGTGCAGTACCATGTGTAGCACTTACCTATCTTAACATTATATTTGCACATAATATAGATTTATTATCGCAGATTCTCAAAAATTTCCAAATTATTCTGCACATTGACTCTTGAATGCACATAGAGCACAGGAGTTTGGGGTCGTATTGTAAGGCCATAATTATTGATTTCATTTCTTGAACAGTTGGTGCAAACATTGCATATGCTCTGTTAAAACCATACATCAACACCACACTTTTGTACTTGTCATGTTTGACACCTGATGTTTTCATTGCCAAAATCTAAAGCGAAAAAGACCTTCAAGTGTTGCTGTTTCATTGCTCACCTCATTTATTATCCTCCAACTTGTCATGTCCTCAACTTTACCTGAGCAAAGAAAAGTAATTCTCTTTGCAGATGTGCATGTATTCAAATGCAGCATCTTTAGACATGACTGAATATGAAGAAAAAGGAAAATTAAATTTGGAAAAACCATTTTAATGTAATGGCACCTAACTCACCCATTTGAAAGCAGGATTTGGTTTATTGGTAAATGTGACTAACAGGTGAATTTAATATCTTTCTTTAAACAATGAGTTTGAAGTTTCACAAAACAGTGTCCCAGCATTCAGATTATCATGAAACAGCGGGGGCCATGCAGAATAAATTTCCTGTTTCTGAGGTCAAGTAGCAAGGCATGAGAGTAGAACTACGACAGGTCTCTATGAAGGAATGCAAAACTCTGGTATAAATGTTAGGACTCATATTTAACAGTAAGATTTGCATTTCAGTTTTCAACATATGATTCGGTGCAAATCAAGGCATGTGTTTCTTGATTACTTCAAGACTTTTGGATGGGTGTAGGGTGCTGTCAGATTGATAAATGTGTTTAGTCTTTTTACAACCTTTGCCCCAATGTTAATTTAAAAAAAGATGTATGTAGCTGCTGATCCTTTTCAGTGTGTTTGTTGTGTAATGAAATCCATCTATGCAAGTTGACTTAAACTGCTGGATCGACAGTGACTTCATGTCTTCACTATAGTATGCATACAGTAACACTTAAAAACAGTTTTAGTTTAGCTGTTGCCTCGTTTAGTCTTTTCTACACAATTTGTGTATATGTGGCATTTGCACATCTGGCCCATTACACACATATACAGACAAGCTAAAAGAAACCATAAGCATGATGTGGTGTGTAAACTTACATAGTACTGAATATAGCTGTATCTGAAAGAATAGCCCAGTGTGATTATTTCAGTCAGGACAGACTGGAGAAAGAGAAAATTATACCGACTTAGTGTGCACAATCGAATGGTTGATCAAAACCCCATTGTCCCACCCATGAGCTGTATAGGAAAATGTGGCAAAAAGCAGTGGCTGATGATCTGAATGGATGTGATGAGAAGCAGGAATTCTGTTGAGGTCAGGCAAAGGACACATGGACGCTGCATTTGATGAAAACGAGAGGTGAATGGGGTGGAGGAGGCTTGCAAATATCTTCATCAACCACTCCCTTGTTTACTTCTGAACTTAAATTCTTGAGCAAAAGCCTCTTTGAGAGTCAGGACTCACTGAATAATATCCATGGAAATAATCAGTTTAATTAATTTGATTGAGTGTGACACCACACAATTTTGTTAAGCCCAGTGTTTTCATTCAAAAAGATTGTGTTTATAAATGAAACCGACTTCTCTGTGACAGACAGTGTAACGCACTGTCATAAAGTCAAACTCCTTCCACACTCCTTAGTGCTAGGTGATTATTACATAATGGAAAATTTGCTGTCAGAATCTGGACCAGATCAGCCATAAACAAGCAACATACAAATTAAAAATAATCAACACTTCTTCTTTTTTTTTTCAACAATAGCAGTAGATGAGCAGAAACATGTTTTGGGTGGAAAATACTGCAGAGAATGCTGAGGGAAAGACAAACCTCTGTGGACATATTTTGGCTGAAGTTGAAAGCGCTGCTCTTGCATGCTCCTCGGTGTGTGGTTTCATGCTTCGCCAGTGTTCACAATGATCAAAATTATCCAAGCTTCTCTTTCAACTGGAGAAAATCTATTATCCATATTATGGGCCCTGCTGGACATTTTAAAGCACTGGTTACTTATAAATCAACATTTCTGTATCTTGTCTGAGTGAAGGCAATATTATGATAGAAATGTGAAGAACCAGGATGATTTCAGATGGTAGCGTTAGTGAGCAAATGTCTGCATACAGTCTGCACTTGGTGCTTAATTGATGTGACTTTTCTGTTATATAGCCTTAACGCATTAGGTAACAATAAGACAACTACAGGAACTACAGAATATATACATTTCTGGGGAGCAGTACAGGCTGCGATAACACCAAAGGAAACAGCTGTATGCTATCCTCAGCCTGGGTTGTGTTGTCTGACAGGTCCAACTTAAAGCAGGAAATTCAAACCAGTTATTCTGTTAACACGGCTGACCAATAAAATGTAAGAGGGAAAAATTAATGGTAAGACCCCTGAGTAAAACATAATACTGTAAAAGAACATAATGTGTTGAAATCACATGGCATCAAAATACAGCTGTCATGAGAAAGTTTGTTCTTGACCTTGCAGACTCTAGTTTGCAACCGCAAGGCCATTCAGTGGCTGTTGTTATGTTTTGAATTGTATCATACAACCGTCCACAGAAAGATCCTATGTAACACAATAATCTACACTCAGATGTCCACTTATTCATTTCCAGTGTTTAACTGCATCTCACAGCCTTCAGTGAATGGAGCTTTTATTACAAGACGTAAGATTCAGACTCAGTTTCTACTGGAGGATGGCACATGAGAGTGAGATGGCTGAAAACTCAGAACCACTGAGCTGCTGCTAATAGTCCAGAATACACTCCCATAGTCCAATAAACATGTTACGGTCATTTACCCAATAGAGAAATTGTTGAAAATTATTTATTTTTGAAAGTCAGAATAAGTAGTAATTGCATTATTGTAGATTACTTAATATGAACCAACAATTATCGCAGTCACTTTTCAATTCTGATGAGTATTTTCAAGAAATCTTTACATGACAAAAGTTTGGACACACTTTCCCATCGAATCGAATGGGAAGCTCTCT